TTTACCATCTGCTCACAACCGTCGCCAGTTGTGTATAGGGTGAAGCGAGTCGATGAAGCACGAGAAATATCCGTGCATCTTGCCCATCTAAAACAGTGCCGTGAAAGAGAAAAACCACCAGCACCACAGTTTGGAAAACTGGCGGAATATTTCCTCAGGAAGCAAATTCCCTTACCTGTCCTGACAGCAAACGACGAAAATCAACCGAAAATTGAAAGATACGTCGTATTGAAAGTGGTAGGGCATCGAAGCGGTCAAGGCCGAAAAGGTCCGCACAACTATCGATATCGTCTAAGGCTGAAAGGATACGGTCCTGAATCGGATCTGATGTATCGTGCCGACGAAGTGCCGCAATGCCACGAAATGATTTCCGCGTACAGATCAAAACATAATCTGGACATCGCGCCCGCCAAGAAATCGTCCGAAGTGCCGCAGAAAAAAGCGAAACGAAAACGCGACGAAGGTAGGGATCCGAGTACAAGCAAACGCGCAAAGCACGAAGCAAGGCCAGACACTTTGTGTCCCAAGCCAGTAAAATGCGTGAATAAGAAACGTACTCAGCGGAAAAGGAAACGAATCTCCGACGGCAAACAAAAGATACATTTCCAAAGTGTCTAAACGGTGAAAGGAATGCCAGCGATATTTCCCTGTGCACTAGCAGCAGTACGATGCTGCAGATGCCAGAAGGCTGGGTAGCCTACCTCAGAGGTTCACACTCTGTGCGTCTCCAACCGCGAGAGACTTGGAATGGAAATATGAAGATGTTTGTATTAGTTGCTGACTCCCGAGTCAGATTGATGTTGCTGGTACTGAAGAGGAGTGAGAGTGGTGGGCGAGCTTAGGGCTGCACCACTCTTNCAGAAGTTTCCAGAAGGCTTCCAGAAGCTACACACGTTCTACGTAGATGTCCCGGTCAACCTTGACGTAGCATGCTTCCGGAATATTTCTAGAACAAGAGAATACATGCCACGAAGAGATGGATTCTTTTCTACTGCTACGCAGACTAGTTGCTGCAATCGTATTCAAAGGTCAAACCGTGTCCGACTACTGGTGGTCTCGACGCACGATTTTCCTGACAAGGAATAGCATCCAAACAATAAGGTTGCTATCCAGCATTTGGTTGGGTCAAATGCTGGCGAGGAAATGTCAAGTTAACCGGTCTCAAGTGGAATTGAGGGTCGCAACTCGATGACACTAACCATGAGTCACGGAAATGGTCTTAAGACTGTCGAAAAACCGTATGCCTATCGTACTCAATAAGCAACACGATTGCTTACACCCAGCGGTATGGTTACGCGAACCAGAGCCCGCACAAAGTACAAATTCTTGATACTTAACAAGAATAAGCTTTGACACATCATTGATTGACATCAATACCTGGTAGCTGGTACGAGCCTTGGAGAGATTAAATCCGTACGGTGTTGTTTCCAACACGTGTGTATTCCACAGGGTACTGTCAGCTGTCTTCGGATAGTGAGGGGTGTACTCATAGTCGTGCATGCCGTAGTCGTTAGACCATTGACCTCGCATCCCTACAAAGCCGGGACGGAGCACGCCGGGTTCTCACCGGACCAGGCTCTCAACATCACCAAGCGCGGAGCGCCGTGAGATATTCGGCGAGTCGTATGAAGGGTGTCTGCATCCTGCNGACTTAATGTATTTTCTGGTGCTTTCACTTCCTGAAACAGTTGTAGGCACTGTGTAACTGCCTCGAGGGTGCTTGACCATTTTAACGCAACGTGGTGTGATCATCCCCCTTGCGCGGAGTGAGGCTTCTCCACCCCGCACAACATGATCTACTCGACCACCATTATGGTTACCGCCAAAAAAAAAAGAGGTAAAAATAAAAACGGTAACCTGGTTGCAGAGTTCACGAAGTGAATTGGCTTGTTTTACGACGTCGTTGCCAAGCGACGAAAACCCAATCCCGATGGCAAACACCGAGGGGGGTGCTTGTTTACAACGTCGTTGCTTATTGCGGGAGATATTTTTTTTTTTCTTAATATGACACAACGAGTCCATCTCTATCATAGAAAAGAGTCAGAGACAGATTAACAATGGAATCATAGCGTCAGAGAAAACTACCTGTATGTCTTGTACGATTTCCCAGACAGCATATAGGAAAAGCTGTATCTGGATCCAATGATACATCCATACCTACTCTACTACAAGATTTATGCAAACATGCATGTGCGCCAAAACCCAACTTCAACAAGCTGAGCTTTCGGCGAAGAAAAGGGGGGGCTATGTGGAGGTCAGGATATGGAGATTCAGGGAGCACAGATACACGTACAGAAAGAGTAGGATTTGAGGGAATATGTAATAATAGATTACGGTTCTCGGGTCCCCAACTGTTATAGAGTTGATGGATCTTCAGGGGATTGGGAAATGAGTCCACGAAGGCTACTCTCCGCTCCACCCTAGCTTGACTGAGTTCGCTCGGTCACGCTTGGCATTCCTCGCCACATTGCACCAAAGGAAATAGCCAACCTCCAGTGGCAAGACATAGCCACCACAACCTCGGACTCTCCGCTCACCCAGAGTAGAGGGCACCCATAGATGGTGATTTTTCATTGTGCTCGCGGGACTGTTATCCATCTTCATCAACGGAGCCCCCGTACGCTTCATATCTTAGCCGCCGCGCCCCTGGGCCGTACAAGGGCAAGGGAGATGGACACGACCGCGCACGCGCCACCCACCACACACCGCAAGTGCCGTGTAATGTCGATGTTTAGCACTGGATGCCACAGCTTGCCGTCTCGACGGCGGGAATCGATGTTTTGATGCGGTTCGAATTGGCGGGAAAGCATGCGGAGGTCCACCACAACCAGCAAAACTGCGTTGACCCAGCCGTCCGCTAGAGGGTAAAGTGGACCTCACAGGACAGCAGATCAAGGCACACACTCGGGAGTAACCGGGCGCAACCTTTCCTCGGCATCGCAACTTCAGGTGAAAGTTGCTTCATAGTGACATTCACCGGCGCACTCACACCCGGACGCACGGCAGCCTACATGTAGAAGTACAAAATTGTCCAACGGCATCGAGAGACCCGCATGGCAGCAAAACAGCAGTCAGTCTCTGTTGGTGCGTGTAGCATACGTCACGCTCGTATGCTTGCACGCTTGCGCACATTAGCGTCGATCACATCGCTTCGCGGACGCGTGCTTTTCTTGACGCGTTTGCGCAAAGCTTGTACGAAGCGAAATGATAGTTTCTGTAGGTCGCGTAAGATACCACACCCGTGGTATCCTATGCTGTTTAGTATGAATACGTGCGACGCTTTTGTGCATTCGCAATTTGCATCCCCTGCCTGTATTTGTCTAGTTTAACCTGTATGTATGGCACCACGACCATTATGACCGTGATCATTGCTGTTTGTATAGCATGACTGCTGATGATCCGGCGTTGTGTTCCACACCCCTCTAATATCCTACTGCTGTAGGCATGTGCATACCTCGTCTTACGTGTAGATGAGATTTCTCCCATGGCTTGTACCCGCTGTTTCCTTGTGTAATTTCGATGGAAAAAATAAGTGGGTGGTGCCGCTCGGTGGTATTGCCCGTTCGAACTCTGTTCAACTACATATATGTGTGTTGTAACAAGAGCGGTGTAGGGAGTGCAGATATGGTCTTACCCATCCAACGTTTCTATTGTTCTCGGCCTGGTGCGTGCCTCTGTGTGTTGTAGTTTTTTAGCGTGCCAGGGACATGGTCGGGCGAGCCACCAAAGCGGACATGGCATCGACACGCCAGGACCTGTCCGAGAGGCAACTGCTGGGAGAGGATCGGCTACACGAGGACTTCGTGGCGCAGGTGATAACTTGTTTTCCATCTGATTTGCCCTCCACGACTGGTGTCCCCCCGTAACTTTTTTGTATATTTTCACACCTATATACACGATCGCAGTTCAAACCCATCGCTTGTTCCGCGTGCCCACGAGACAAAGCCGTGTATTAGTACACATGAGGAAATACAGAGATTCGCCCTCCTGCCGTTGAAGAGAACACTCCAGCGCGCAGCAGGAAAATAATCAAGGGTTTTCTCGATAAAATAACGCCGTCAAAATACCGCCGTGATGAGCGGTACCGATATACGTTTTCCCGCCATGTTTCGGTTGTACCACCACCACCAAAGTCGATACCGCAGACCGCCAAAACTGTTACCGCCATATGACAATACCGCCGAAAATTACCGCCATATAGGTACATTAGCACCTACCAACGATCTTGTCTCATCCAAAGTACAGTCAAAGCGAATGTCAAGAATTCGAGTCCAGACGTGACTTGTTTCTTTTTCCGCGTTTCTTTTTCATGTGTCGTTTATTACACATGATATTTTTCGTTCTGTATTCGTTTTTTTGTTCTCATGTCTTAATTGGTTTTTATGTCGTGAATGCCAGACTGTCGTAGATTGTCGCGTCAGATGACCTCTCGGAGATCTACCTCAGGAGTGTTGCCACAGATGTAGTCAGTGCATGCTGGACGCAAAACCTGCTGCAGCAGGCTCGCTCCCCCCCTGACTCACAACACAACTATCCTTACTCTTCAGCCTCTACACAAGAGGTTGAACCGGTGTGTATCCACACCACACATTCCAAGGGGAACTTGTCCAAACGTGAACCTGCAGACATCCGTCTCATATGTTTTTTTGTTAGAATGTGAAAGTCACCGGTTGAACGACAGAACCATGGAAGTCATGGTCAATCTTCGGAAAAGAGGGTTGACATCTGTTCGGGCGCCGTTTTTTGGTGCGCTTGAAGCTGTGACCAATTGCAATCATAACCGCCGTCAAAATACCGCCGGGGTGGGCGGTATACCGGTAAACAGCCGTTCCTCGATATTACCGCCACCGCCATATGGCAATACCGCCGAAAAATTTCCGCCATTTTTTTCGTACCGCCACCGCCAAAGTCGACACCGCCAAAACATATACCGCCAAATAGCAATACCGCCGAAAACGTGTCCGCCTAAAAAACACGGACCGAGTAAACCCTCGAAAATCATGAGACGATACAACTATGCGAACGCCGGAGCATGTACATGGCATTCCGATTGCATGGCAGGTACATGGTACCGGTAGGAAGCAGCAGAACGGTTCACGCACTGCACCGCTTCACATGTCTCCACATGCACACCGTCAGCAGCACCTTTCTTTCCCCCGCTGCCTGCTGACGTGATGTTGTACACCAGGTCGTCACGCCGGCTCTACTGCACGCCGCGAACGACATAGCCGCCCACCCGGTCAACGAGATTGGCAAACACGAGAGCATCGTGTGCAAGTGCACGAGGAAGGCGAGGGCGCGGGGCAGGCTTTCCAACGGTGGATGCAGCATCACCAACGCCAGGGCATATTCCAAGAGAGGTGAGTTTTCCCGAACCGACCTTCCCACAACCTCAACTGCAAGAAGGGGGAGAATGTCTCCACGTGGACTACATGGCGGGCGGTCTTGCTGCTTACTATGTTTGACACGTGGTGGAATGAGCCTTTTCTCTGTGGTTGAGCATCAAGTCAAGTACAGCATACTCGCCGTTTTGCTGGCCGTCGTTGCCGAATCTGGGTGTGGTTTTCTCCATTGCATTGTCGCACGGTTGTTCCCGATTGTAACTAGCGATCGTTTGGAGTTTTCAGCAATTTCGTGCACGTCGAGAGCCGGCGGTCCTGCTGGTTTGAAGGAGCAGGCAAGGTATGCGTGACAGCACGCATGCAGTGAGTGCCCCCCGCCCCTCTTGGTTTGTTACTCCAAAGTATTGCTTCGTGCAGATGCAGTTTAGGCCAGACGTGTTCCGTTTTATTCTGCACGTGTCAGAATTCCCCGATTAGAGTCGCCCCGGGGGTGATATTTTCGTTTTTTCAGACCACCCCCCCCCACCTTGGTCCCCCGGTGTTTGCCATCGGTGTCATCGGGGTTGGGTTTTCGTCGCTTGGCAATGACGTTGTAAAACAAGCCGCTCCCCTCCCCCGGTGTTTGCCATCGGGGTTGGGTTTTCGTCGCTTGGCAACGACGTTGTAAAACAAGCCACCCCCTCGGTGTTTGCGTTGTAAAACAAGCCAATTCACTTCGTGAACTCGGCAACCAGGTTACCGTTTTTTTTTTTTTTACCTCCGGTTTTTTTTTGGCGGTAACCACAATGGTGGTCGAGTAGATCATGTTGTGCGGGGTGGAGAAGCCTCACTCCGCGCAAGGGGGATGATCGCATCACGTTGTGTTAAAATGGTCAAGCACCCTCGAGGCAGTTACACAGTGCTTACAACTGTCTCTGGAAGTGAAAGCACCAGAAAGTAAATTAATTCATACGCAGCTGTCATCCGTACGCAAGGAAGTAAGCACAACATGCCGAACACCGTTAGCAGGATGCAACGCACCCTTCATGCGACTCGCCGAATATCTCACGGCGCTCCGCGCTTGGTGATGTTGAGAGCCTGGTCCGGTGAGAACCCGGCGTGCTGCGTCCCGTCTTTGTAGGGATGCGAGGTCAACGGTCTAACGACTACGGCATGCACGACTATGAGTACACCCCCCCCCCACCTCCCAGTCTTGCGCTGTTACCACACAATCGTTCACCTCCGTGTAGTGCGTCACGGGATATAACAGTATTGATCTCATGTTATTTATGCTCGTCACGCATTTTGCTTGTCACCCCACCTAGTTTTCGTCCACTCTGGAATCGAACATGAAGTTTTTGTTTCATGTCGTTGCGCATCCATGCGTTCGCTTTCCCTATGTGCTTTGGAACAGATTCTGGTACTCCATGCTGCAGTTCACGACGGGCCCGCGTCGCATAGCCTCCGGATTCCTGACCATCGCCAAGTCGCACTACGGGAACCCCAAGATCATGCGCTTCCTGTCCGCGTACGCCTGCGGGGACGACAATCTCATCATGAAGGACACCCCGGCCGCAGACGTGCACGTCGACGATGCCTAGTCCGGCGCATTTCTCGACGAAATGGACGGATCTGCGCTCAGCATCCGCATGGGTCGCGAAAATTCTGGCAATGGTTTCGGGCTTAGCGCTTGGTGTGGTCTGGTGGGAGTGGGAGGGAGCAGGTTGCTTGCACATAGCGTTCGGCATTAGTCTATAGGCAGTCTATCTCGTGAAGCGGTGGCACTTTTCTTTTGTCACGGTATGTTTTCGAGGCACGCGTCATGCGCTGTAAGTCGACAAGTGCGTGCGTACCTTGGACGTGATACACACAACGCAGAGGTTGTTTTGCGTGTCGCCGGGGGGAGGGGCAACCAAGTATGGAGGTGCTACGAACAAGAGGCAGGTAGGTTTGGTCGGAGCTTCATTTCGTCGAGTTGAATCTCCGTATGCACGAGAGTGTGGGCTTGAGCGGGTACATGCAAGTTGCTTGAACCTGAAAGCAAGGGGTGCGATGTTTTGGTAGTGAAGGAATGGGTTGATGCATTTTGTTTTGGGTTATTTTTGTGCTTTATGTTAATAGATCGTGTGGTTCACCATGTGTCCTGGGTTGGTTGGTGCACGTCGTGACTACGTTATGCAATGTCGAAAGGAGTCGTCATAGTTTGGGTTGTGAGCCCCAATATTCTGGATTTTTGTTGATGGATTGGGTTTTGGGGTGTATCCTACCGTAAATGGTGTCGATGAATGGCAAGCGTTTGTGTACGTGTAGGAGCACGAAATGCTGCTGCGAGGGACGCGACAAGAAGATAAATGAAAGAAATGAAGAGGAAAATCTCCAATTTTTTCGCGCCGTTATTACAAGCGTAAGGGTCTCTATTTGTACAGGGTTTCCCAGGGTGTGTACCACGCGAGGGTCCCTGAGTGGCAAGGTACGCACAGGGTGTGGGATCGTTACCCTGGCAGGGTACCCACCTTGTAGCCAGGTCAAGCCTGCAAGGTAGTCTTTTAGGGTGACCTCGCCAGGGTGATATCTCCCCGCCCTGGCAGCGTAGCCGAATGGCTATAGGTCGCCCTGGTTGTCTAGTGGGTAACCTCGCAGCCTGCTAAAGGCCAGGTCATGGGTTCGAGTCCCGGCAGAGTGAGTTTTTTCTCACTAAATAAATCCTGGTCTAGGATGAAAGCGACGCGCTGCAAAGCTCGTTGTTAGTAAACCATAATCGACTTCGTAAGTCGCGAGGGAAGGAATTGCTGTACCCTTCTCGCGATAAAAATAGCTCAGGCAGGAACCGCAGGCGGGGTCCAGCCCCCCCCGTGCTATGTGACCCAGGTTGGGTCTTCTAGCTAGTAGAAGTGGAGGATAGGGGCCAGAGAGGCAGACGACAGAGTCCAATAACGGGAGAAAAAAAAAAACATGTGACCAAGATGCTGACCAACGTGTTTAAGTGTTCCATTCGATTGTATGCAGAGATGTAGAGTGTCTTTTGGGGGGATTGTGCAGTATGCCCTCGCTATGCCGTCGAAGAAAGGCAACTTGGTGTCTTAGGCGCATATGTACGTCGTCGCCCCGGTGGTCTAGAGCAAACCGGGGTATAAACGGACACCCCCCATTAACGGACAATTTTTTCAAAAACTACATCTTGCCGCTCACCCCGCGGAAATCAGTTCTATTTTCTTGTGTTGCTATGGAGCTCATCTTCATTTAAGTTAAAGTTTACTCAATTTGGTGATGAACTACGTTCTAACATTCGGCCCCAGACGATGTAGAATTTTGTCATTTTTCTGCCCACGTGGTGGCTGCCGCTATGCCCTACAATCAATATTAGATTTGTTTTTCTCAAGCAGAATTTATTATGTAGTCTTGTGGTGTAGAGGCCTGAACGTCACTTTGTGGTATAGAGTCCGAGCCTCTGTTCCGATAATCTTATTGTTCCTACTTTTTTTTTCGCTTTTTCTTCTTTTCCTAGCTCGATTTCGGGCGAGAAAGGGGCCAAAAATAGCGTCTGGATGTCATACAGAGACGAAACCATGATGGGAGAAAATATATATATATGTCGGCAACCACGTATGTTGGTCTATTGATAACTTTCGCGACAGTTGGGAGTTGTGGGAACACCGCGCAGTAAGTGTCTTGCCCAGAAAGGCTTTTCGGAAAGTAAATGTTTTACGCTGTCTTAAATAGGGCAACTTGCGGAAATTGTCCATACCGACTTACGACACCACCGAGGTTGCGTTTCGACATCGTTTTGGGGCATGCATCGGGAACCACATGTCGGTTTCGGCCAAATGTCGGCATATACGACAGCTGGGGGCCGTGGGAACACAACGAATTGGTTTGGCGCTCATTGGAGGTGATTTCGGACGGTTTCGTGCGATGCCGCAGACACACATACTGTACGACACCGCCGGTGGTGTTTTGATATCATTTTGGGCCATATCTTGCAACTACCTGTCACTACAAGGCGAAAGAAGACTTTCGCGACAGCTGCGAGCCCCAGGAACCCGAAGAATTTGGCTTCGAACCATTCTTGTTTGTTGTAATGTCATCTCATATATTCATGTCATTTACAGTTATTCTAGACGCACCAGCCAGGGGAACACATAGAAGGAAGGCCACGGAGTTACTCAGCCTTCCTTCTACAGTGTTTGCCTTGAGGCTTTCGCGAGAAGGATCCACCCGTTCCTATACTCCCTTGAAAAGCGTGACTTCCAGCTGAGAAAGAATTTTCAACAGGAACACGTCATTTCGCACCAAATCAACGCGGCACACCATCACAAACAAGACAAGTCGGCATGATGCCGACTTACCACACGAATTTCGCCATTGCCTGTGTGGCTCTGCAGCACGCAAGACCGTCAGCAGCTGTTGTCAACAAAATGATGTTCTGCTACTCTGTCACCTGCTGCTGTCACCGCGTCATGCATTCCCCTACCGGACAGTTACAATAGAAATCTATTCTGGTACATCCCTTCACAACACAATGACGGACATACCGTATTGCATAGCGCAACAAGACTCGACGACAAGATCCATACACACGTCCGTTCCCCGCCCCCCGCCCCCCGCGGTCTCGAACTCCCTCATTGAGTTTTCTGGTTTCGTCCTGACACCCATGAAACCATGTTCGAAGCGCGATCACACCGTCAAAGTAGCTGCAGAGCCGACGAGCTGACTCTAATCCCCCCCGTTCCAACCGGGAACTACTGACACCCCTCGGGCGAACACCATTGCCGCCGCTGCTCCTGCGCCCCAATGTAGCCAACTCGACGGTTCTAGGCGAACTGTGCCTCTCTAACATTCGAATTTAGAAGGCTCTGCACTTCTACAGACCTGTCATAAGCGAATCCCGAAAACGCAGACAACACGGTTCATTCACAAGCAAGGTGCGGGACGGGCGGTTCACAGGGTCGCCGTCCAGAAAATAGCGTCGGGCAGCATGTTTCATTCCATGTCAAGCGTGATTGCGTCCGTAGTATCGAAACACGTGCGCTTCAGACGAAAATCAATACCACATCAGGGAAATCACACCAGCCCCGTCATCGCCCCCCCACAATGCTCCCTTTTCCAAGTTCGCGAATGAGCCAAGTCTCGTCCAAAGAACCGGCGGAATCTACGCACGAGAATTGGATGTCCCGATAGCTTGCGAAACATGTTGACCACGGAACTCATGGCGCGTTCGCTCCTGCAGAGACTCGAGGAGACAAAAAGGCTTTTCTCCCACTCACTTCAAAGAGTTCACATCCTCGTCGACTGTGGCATTGTCTTGTATGGGTATACTGTAGTTGTCTGTGATCGAACGTACGCTACAAAAAACTTACCACGGTCGGTCGCTCTTGAGGGTGTGCATGTAGGGCGCGAAGCGACAATTCGGAGACTCCGTCAACGGGTCCGTGTACGCCTCGCTGTCCAAGCTAAAGGGTACGGGCAGGGGGATCGACCGTGGTGATACCATTGGCGGCGGCGGCGGCGGCGGCGGCGGCGGCGGCGGAAGTTCAAGGGTATCGGTGCGGATGCGGTGCGGAGGCACACCGCTGCCGGGTGAGCAGCCACACGCAGGGCACGCGCAGTCCGGGAGTGGTGCCGTGTGGTAGGCCCGCTCTGGGGAAGAGTGGAAGAGCACTCCGAGCTCGACGTTCTTGAATATCGCGCCCGAGGCGGCGGTGCCAGTGCCTGTTCGGTCGCCGTGCGCGACCACCTCGCCCTGTGCCCCCTGTGTACGCGACGGCCACATGCGTCATTGTTCATCGGTTTAAAAGGGTAAGAAAAGACAGACGACCCAAGTTGCCTACATGGAGAGAGACGAACTGCTGCGCGGGATGCTGTCCGCAAAGTCCCCCGGTTTCACAACTGAACGGACGTTCTCAGGCATGGCGAAAAAGGTGGTAGCGCCCTCCCCCAAGACCCCGAAACACACAGGAGCGACACACACGGCGTGCGCAGTCTACGCGCCTTGGAGAGGCAGGCGCTGGTCAACAGGAACCACGAAAAGTGCTGAACGTTTGCACACACGACGGGGCGTGCACCGTCACACCCCGTATCCCCGCGCACATCCGCGGTCCTACCCGCCGCCGCGTAACCCCCCGCAGCAGCAGCAGCAGCAGCAGCAACAGCACCCTCGGCAGAACTGTGGCTCATGGCGCTGTTTCCAATTCCGCCTCGGTCACAAGTGTTGGTATTCTTGTTGGGCGCAAAAATGGCTTGCTTCTGTGGCGACGGCAACTGCGGCCGTAGAGGGAACGGGGCCTTCCTCAGGCGCATGGCGCTCTTCACGTGGGCGGGGCGAAGGGGGAGCGCAAGAGCGGTTGCCGGGTGTAGCTGGAATGTCCGTAGGCAGCAGTGCAGGTCTAGGCCCATGCCGTCGAATTGATCCGGCGACATGAAGACGAACCCGTTGCTGTCGTACAGGTAGAGTTAAGTCGCGAGCCGTCAGGTGGGTGGATGGGTGGGCGGGAGGGCGCGGACACAGACCGAAAGGCGGACAGACAGGTAAGGCACCCCGCAAGAGAGACAAGACAAAAGAGAGTTGGAGGGGAAAGGCAAGAGAAAGCGTCAATAGTAAGACGCGTGAAGGTCTTTGTGGGCAAGAAGCGAGGGTCCTGGGAGTCAAGTGAAGGTCGAACTTGGTGTGTCCACCCACCAAGTGACCTCTCATGCCAAAAGAAAGAGCCGTCGACCTTGAAGAGTAAAAAAAAATACATACGAATGAAGAATGTAAAGGTCCCAAGTCCGAGGCTCCTCAATTGCTATCGTTCGAGAACCACCGTACGGGATATCTCGCTCTAGATGCCTTGCGTCTGTGACTAGCTGCGTTCAAACCACTGCGAGATTCACTCACGCAAAAAGTCACTGATTTCGGTATTTCCGAGCGATCAAGCGAGAGGCTGTACGGCTTCCACTTCACCAGCTTTGTCCGAGAAAAATGACACAACTTGATTTTGGGCCAAATCCACTGGCACGAAATAATAAAAGGAAAGCACGCCAAGCACCTTCATTGGATCCTACTTCGTGTCGTCTGTGGGACACCAAGAGACTGCCGAGATCCTGCGCACCTGCCGCTACTGCTGTCACAGCAGTGTCACCCCGTTGCACCGCGACAGTCACAACTCGTGGAAAACAGAAAACCTTGCACTCGAAACAAGCATTCCCACAAGACTTCACTCGCTGACGTTAATACACCGATAGTTTTCGCTCGCCAAGATGACAAAAGATTCGCAATAAATAGTGCTGCACAGCAGGTGTGACAAGCTTTGGTCAAAAGAGTTGGTAAGTTCTTCCTCGGGTTCCAACGTTTGGACAAAATAACGCCCCGACACTGTTTGCATTCTTCAGAGCTTCCACAGCGCGGAACTCGTTGGCGGGCTCAAAGACGCGTGTCTTGCTTGGGGAGGGGAAACCTTTATTGCGGTGAAATGCGTCACTCTTGGAAGCTCACTTGTCCCAGTCCGGGGTCTTCCCGTCCTCTCCCATGACGTACTTGTGGTCCACCTCCATGGTCGTGGACACCTGCCGGTCCCGCAACAACGTGGACTTGCTCCTGCGTTCGCGCGCGGGAAATTTCCGTATGTTTTCATCCTCAATCTATCCTTGCGTCAGGCCACGCCTTCCGGTACATGTTTGATGCATCAACCGGGGTCGCACAGGAATAAGGTAAGCCCCATCTTCCCCCATGCACTGGTTGCCTCCAATGTGGGATCGTTCAGCAGTTCCTTCCCTCATGCGAGTGGTGACTCCCGAAGATGCGGGCGTTCCAAGCTAAAGCTGCGAACTTTCCACTCCAGAGATGTTCGAGCCCGCAAACTAGATAGTCAAGAGGATTTTGCCGACTAAACCAGCGCCGTGGCGATCGGTGTCTATAGGCACCAGCAGCTATAACACACCATGACAGAAGCAAGAGAGACCGGGGAGGATACGCGCCACAGGTGTTCTTACGTGGCTGCTAGCCCCATTCATGCACACACATCGCTGCTGTTGTACACTTGTGCATTACGACACACCCGCCTCTGTCCTCTCGTGTGAACATGGTCAAGCACCCTCGAGGCAGTTACACAGTGCTTACAACTGTCTCTGGAAGTGAAAGCACCAGAAAATAAATTAAGTCATATGCAGCTGTCCTCCGTATGCAAGGAAGTGAGCACAAGATGCCGAACACCCTTAACAGGATGCAGCGCACCCTTCATGCGACCTGCCAAATACCTCACGGCGCTTCGCGCTAGGTGATGTGAGAGCCTGGTCCGGTGAGAACCCGGCGTGCTCCGTCCCGGCTTTGTAGGGATGCGAGGTCAATGGTCTAACGACTACGGCATGCACAACTATTAGTACCCCCCCCCCCCGCCTCTGTCCTCTTGAACGAAAATGGCAAGAGGTTGACCTCCCGGAAGATATCGCCCTGCGTAGGGCTTTCGGGAGTATCACCTTCCCCACCGTAGACATCAACCTCCTGCGCCGTGTATCGTTCACGGGATACCCGGCAAGGCGAGATTTCCTCCGAAAGCGGGAAAGCTATGGCGCATGAATTCCTTGTCCCAAGCCTTGGATCAGGCCAACTTTTCTACGTCAGATCAACTTGGGGTAAAACATCAGAGCAAGATGTTGGGGGGGTGGGCTCTCACTCACATTTCCTTACGACAGGCGTCCATGTATTGCATGGATGGCCACACAATACGAACAGAGTCTAAGCGGCTCTCTTTCCAGGCTCCCCGAAGCGGCCCCGCCGAATCCGGCATTAAATTCTTGGCAAAAATCTGAGTTGAGACATAGCGCACGCGAGAGAGAGGGGGCGGAACGAGTATGCGAAGCCGAAAGGAAGTTTGCTTGCACAAGGCCAGCAAACATTACCACCAACGTATGACAAAACCAAATGCTGGTAGGGGAAGGAGCAAACAGTCCGGGTTGGGCGCGGGGGGGGGGAATAACAAAAGTACTAGCACACAACGAGTATTCCACACCAAGTTTCTCGCGGCGACAATCTTCTTCTTTGCTCGTCTTCCTGGTCACTTAGGCACTCTAATGCCGTGCTACAGAATATAACCAGTCATGTAGGTCTCCGACAACAGCAATCAAATACATGGCATTGACTCAGTCGTCTGCGGATCACTGGATGACTCCGCTAGGTGTGAACATGTGTACCAGTTCAAGAGACAAGATTTGCAACGCTCGCACAACATGTGGATGGTTCTTTGGACCAGGATCGTAGTGCCGAGGAAAATCTGTGCAACTCTTGCGCGCGAAGCCTTCCGAACCCCGCCTCACCGAAGAAGAAAACACTCAACCCCAGCGGCAAGAACGCACAAGTGATCTGCAGGCATCGGACAGTAAGCTACGACTAGTATCGAAGGCGAGGCAGCGGCTTCGTGGTCGTTCGCAAGGCAAGACCGCCTACAATGACAAATGAGGCGCAACGTACACAAGACAATGCCACCCCAGTCGCTCTAGGACGACAGACACGCAGGCCAAACACCACGACAGCGCTGTGTCCAAACAACTTCCAGAACCCCTCCCTTTCCACCCACCCGCCTCTCGAATGACGCCAAGAACACACGCGCTCAACAACATGCTCAGGGGTCCAGCAAAACGCGAGTACAACGTAGGAGCCTTCGTAGACACGTGCAGCTCTCTTGGCTTGCTACCATTCATGACTTCACATCTAGAGAGAAGCTTCGCTTCCCCCATGACGCCCCCTCACGGGGTCCCAGATCATGGCCTTTCGAAGCATTTTCTGCTTTCAGTTGCACTAAGACTGACGTCTATTCATTGGTCAGGAGCATAGCGAGGTCAATGCAAGTAACACAGACACGAACACACACACACGCACACGCACGCACACGAGCCAGGCGACAACGCGCTACGTCAGCGGAGCAGTAGCACCTACCTCAAGGAACCCTGCGTCGATGCCGGCACCGATGCTCGTGGGCTGGAGGATCAGCACGTCCTCCGGTCCGGCCTCCTCGACCTGGCTTCTCCGCTTGCTCAGCAAGTACTTCATCCTTAGCTGGCCGCCGTAGCAGCGAAGATCGGTCCCTCCTGCCCTGTCGCACTCGACCGCGTCGCCTCCCTTCGTATCGGGGCCCCCTCTCGCGGGGTCACCGTCAGGGGAGTCGAAATCGTCTGCACGACTACTCATATCGGCGCTGTCAGCGCCACGTTGACCTTCGAGATCATCATCCCAGTCGTTGCCGTCTCGGGAGCCCGTGGCAGCACAGAGCCGGCCTCCTCCTCCTCCTCCTCCTCCTCCTCCTCNCGGCGCATTCCTCCTCCGCCTTTTCAACGTCCGCCCCCCTGGGCCCGCCTCCCCCTCTCATCGTGTCTCCTCCTCCTCCTCCTCCTCCTCCATCTCCTCCTCCTCCTCCTCGTATTGCCCCGTTCTCCTGGTGCGATGACACCGGCAGCAGCGGCAGCGGCGACATTGAAGGAGACGCCGGGCATGGGTCCTGCCAACAGTAGCGCGATGAAGACTCCACTGGTGTGCTGCCGCCGCCACGACCCCTTTCCCAGCAGATGCTTTCGTTGCTGTTGGGCTGCAAGGACACCGACCTGTTGACATCGCCGCCACAACCGCCAATAGCGTTAGCGTCAGCAGCGACCGCGAGCGCCGGCGCCGACGGCGGCGGCGGCGACAAGCGGCGAACCTCCTTATTTCGGGTTTGCTGCTGCTGTTGCTGCTGCTGTGGCGGCCGCTCCCAGGGACGGACCCGCGCACTGAATGTCAAGGGAAGAGTTGGATGGACGCAGACACAGGTGGATGCAGGCAGGAGACACGAGCATCAGAACAAAGAGCAAGCTGGTCGACTGAAGAATCGAACGCGAAACGCATCGGTGCCGAAAGCGCCCAACACACGGGCATTCAGCACCCTCACGTGTCTTCATGTGTCCTTCGCCTTTTGAAAAAGTGTGTCCTCATGAGTTTTTGTTCCTGAAATGTGCATATGTGGAGGTCGGCAGGAAGCGCTCCCTCCCAATACAGAACTCCCAAGCCCACCTATAACAGGGGCCGAGAACGCAGCTGAGGGACAAGACTATTGGGCATAATACATGCACAAAACAAAGACCTGAGTCTACACTCGCAGACCTCATTCCACATCTTTCATGTTCAAGCTGAGGTACCGCAACCAAAATGTTTGTGCCAATAACAACGCAACCAAGAAACCCGGTTCCCGCAGGTGCTGGCTGAGGCTTTCTCCCCAAACAAATACATCTCCCATGCAACACACAAGTGGCTGGCACGGGCAAAACCCAAACATTTCAATGGAGTGACCCCGCGACGCAAAGATTACTCACAGTGTGGCGCCCATAGGAGTCGGAACCGTTGGGACTAGGTCGACCGCCGCCGTGCTAAAGTCGAAGCTGTCTCCGAGTCGCTCGACGCCCAGCTCTCGAAGCATGAACTCGATGGGCGTGCTGAGGGTGGCCAGTCGGAGGGCGTGCGGGGGGGTGGATGGGCGTTACATGAACATGTCGCCCAGAACGAGCGCAGCCAGAAAGCACATCCACACAGAGCCAAGCAAACGAGCAGGGAGGGGGGGTCCAGTGGTCAGGCAAGATGTCTGGGACGATATTGTGAAAGATGGACTGTGGTGTTGGGGGGTCAGTTGATAGTCAAGGCTTGCGTTGTACACGACGTTCAACGTTTGTCAACATTGCGGGATGCAGCCGTCGGGGGCTTCTTGAGACGCACGTTCCCGGAGAAACGGTGGTCATCGATGCCGATCGCTCGGAGGCACGCAAAGAAGCCGTCCAGGCCGCCTCCGCGAATTTCGTCGGGCAACGCCGGAAATCAGCCTTGGCGGACAAGTCGACGCGTTTTTGAGAGCGCACACAGCCGGGCGTCGGGAATGGGAGAGCGCCACCGACGCCGACGTACATGACTGGTTGTAAGTATTACGAGCACCCCTCGCCGTCAAGTCATTCGCGTATACCCTAGAAACGCAACACATGGGTTGCCACAGATTCTTCAGGCAGCAACGTCAAGAAGCGCAAATCGGTGCGAGGCGTTCAGCAATACCGTGAGTCTCATCCAAACAAATATGAACGAGACATGCTGCGGCACCGTTGTGCCCACACTCTCGCACGAATAACAGCTTCGCAACAACGGAGAGGGGGGCGACATTGAAGCAATCCGCGATAGCCATCGAGAGTGCAAATGGGTCATAGCTACGTTAGGTTTGTCAACTGTAGGAGTGTGGGGTATCATGGCTCCAGTCGACGAGACAAGGCCATCATGACACCACCCGTCACGCTATCCCGCGTGCGATAGGAGCGCACGTGCGACAGGACGCAGGCACAAACACCAGTAACAAAAACAGGCATCGCACACAGAGCTACAAAAAGAATTTCGTATAGGTCGGTAGGCGTGGCAGCACCCAGCACTTGCAGTCGACTCCGAGCACGCACCAACTTCCTATTCCGTACCCCGTCCTTAATACTTAATAGCGATTTACCTCCTCCCAAACGATACCACCAACAAATATCGCAATGTACCATAAAATCACATAAACTGTGCTTCTATCTGTTCTTCAATCGTTCAAATGTGATTCCACGGTCCTTCACTCCCTCCCGCCCCCCCCCCCTCGTTGCATCAGCGATTGTTTCGCATGCACTCTGCTCGGCCACCGTGATCTTCATTGGTAGGCAGCACACCCGCCACAGCCCCCACCCCCTTTCCCAGCCTCTTGAGCTTCCCCTGGAGGTAAAATCCCAACACACACTAACAGGTCTCTCTCTCTCACTTTCGCAGTTTCCTCCGGGAGGTCGCAGTCTCGTCCTTCGTCTTGGGGTCTTGTCGCATCAGCCGCGAGTACTCTGCCAGGAAGGCTTGCAAGGTGCTGACAATGTGACGATGTGATTGGTTGATCGTACGTGACAGGCACACATTGCAAGAGAGATTAGAGCGAGGGGGGACGAAGCGGATTTGGTTGTAATGTAGATAGACTGAGTACTGGCCGATGTGTCACAGTCATCGACAAGCACTTCATCTCTGCCCACAAAAGAAGGGGAGGGAAAACTTCCCACCGGCAAACTTATACCCCCACGAGGCTTTGCGCCGTGTGTACCCGTAACTACGTTTGATTCCAGCAGTGAGCCGCGTGCACGACAAGGAAGCACTCACGTATCCTAGCGCATCTACTTCGGGGCCTGTCACTGTTTTCATTTGCTGGTACGGGGAGAACGCACGGCGGCCATCGCACTAACGCATGGTTAACAAGAAACAGTACCCCAGGATGTATCATAGTCGTGCATGAAGTGTCGTTAGACCATTGACCTCGCATCCCTACAAAGCCGGCACGGGGCACGCCGGGTTCGCACCGGACCACGCTCTCACATCACCAAGCGCGAAGCGCCGTTAGATATTCGGCGAGTCGCATGAAGGGTGCCCTGCATCAAGCTAAGGGTGTTTAACATCTTGTGCTTACTTCCTTGCGTACGGATGACAGCTGCGTATGACTTTATTTTCTGGTGCTTTCACTTCCGGAGACAGTTATAAGCACTGTATAACTGCCTCGAGGGTGCTTGGCGAATTCAACGCAACGTGGTGCGATTATTCCCTTTGCGCGGAGTGAGGGTTCTCGACCCCTCACATCAGATTCTACTTGACCAACCATTCATGGTTACCGCAAAACAAAAAAAAGAAAGGAAAACAAAAAAACGGTAACCTGGTTGCCGAGCTCACGAAGTGAATTGGCTTGCTTTACAACATTGCCGCCAACCGATGAAAATCCAACCTGGATCGCAAACACCGCGGGGGGGGTGTACTCATAGTCTTGCAACACCGGTGGGGGCGGCTTGTTTTGCAATATCGTTGCCAAGCGACCAAACCCAACCCCGATGGCAACACCGGAGGGGAAGCAGGGGAGGGTACCGTATTCTACACAAGATACCACACCCCGGTGATAACATTTTGGGCTTCAAAAATATTATCACCGGGTGTGGTATTGTGGGGGGGGGTGTGGTATCTTGTGTACCCCGGTGATAAAGCCTAGCTCGCAGGAGCTCCTCAGGGGGTGTGATAAACCAGGGGGTGTGGTAGCACATGCGACCACCCACAGGGAGGGTTTGGGAGTGGGATAAAAAAGGGGGTGTGATAAAATGGGGTGTGATAACACGTCGGAACACCCAAAGAGTGTGTTCGGGTGTGTGATAAACAGGGGGTGTGATAACTCGTCGAAACACTCAAAGATGTGTTCGGGGGTGTGATGAAAAGGGGGTGTGATACACTGCTTGTGGAGTTGAACCGCTGCTGCCGCACCCTGAAGGGGTGTGGTATTGCGGGGGGGTGATGGCAATGCCTGTACGACACTTGCCGCTGCTTTGCACTACCACAAAAAGGGGCTCAAGGGGGTTGACGAAACTCTTGGGCACATGACCTCGGCGATGACTCAACCCCCTCAACGCCGAAGAAAGTTCACACACTGTACCGTATGTCAGCAATCGTGACGGCGTGATGGAGCATCGGAAAACGGTATTTTAAATCGAAGGTACCTCGCCCGATATGATGTCGGGGGATGGCCACAAAGTGCGCCATCCGTTCTGCCCCCTCACAAAAAAAAACAGGCTGCTGCGTACCTTGCTGGTAGGTACGGCCAACAGAGAGTTGAGCAAAGCCAGTACACATCGGAGACCCCGAACCACAAACCTACACTACGAAACAAGCAAACGTTGCACTCCACACGGCTAAGAAATCAGCCGACATTGCAATCACGCTCCAAGACGACGAAGGAGAGAAATGCACGCCAAGAGAAAATGAGAAGGACAACACGAGCTTTTCTCAACACAAGT